AGGACAGGACAGCACAGGACAGGACAGGACAGGACAGGACAGGACAGGACAGGACAGGACAGGACAGGACAGGACAGGACAGGACAGGACAGGACAGGACAGGACAGGACAAACACTTCATCCTTTCCATACTTACATACATGTAATATTCGTTTTACATACACGCATCACACATGCAAATCCTCTATTTACGGCCAACGCGGCGGGAGTAGGCCGCCAGCACCTCGGCGGGGCCTTCGGCCTCGAAACGCTCCGCCTCCCGGAGGTCGAAGATCACCTGGGATGCTTGATTACAGTGGCTTTCGGGGTTCAGGTTATAGAATCATAGGGGCAAGGGCTGGGCCGTTTCGGGACTTGTGTCGGTGGGGACTGGAATCACCTTGCAATCCAGAATGGCTCTTCCACCAACCTGCTGAATTGACATACAAGCACCTGTTCGTTGCTTCCGGCGGATCATGAGGTCTGGTGTGAAAACATGATAGCCTGCAGGTTGTGCCGACGGCGGCGAGAAAGATCAACAAGTGGAAATGGAAGCCTGTTTGGACTCGACAGGGTTCTGGCGGCCATTACCCCATTGTCTTCATGAGCAAGTCTGGGCCTCCAACACAAACTTCCCGCGAGCTCTCGGAATATCAATCATATCAGTCATGACCCAGGGCGACCCGCGGTTGGCATTTATCAACACCAAGCATGCGCCATCTGATCGATAATGCGAGCTACTGCTTTGCAGTCAGCTTGCAGTCGCAGCTACCTGCTGCAGATCCACGAAATCAAGTCTCATGCAGACTTCGAGATCTGCAGCGATGGACTTGAAGCCATGTACTTTGCCAAGGTCTAAGTTTTAGGGTTCAGGGTTTAGGGTTAATGAGACTCAGCCTGCCTGGCCAATGATGAAATCTCTCCGCACTCAATCAAAACGGGACCCCTGAGCGCAATATGGAGCGGTGATGCCTGCGACAACCTTTCCTTAAACTCCCAGCTGATCCTAGGGATTCATACTTTACAACCTCTAACATGCAATATAGAATATAGCGTACCTTACAGATTATGTATTATGGCTTGGCTATTAGATATTATGGCTTGGCTCCATGCCGGGAAATCACGTATCAGACGTATCAGAGCTGGCATTTGCTCAACATGGGCTTCTGTCCTTGCAGGAAGAGAACGTGGTGCAGCCAAGGCAGCGAGGTACACGTTTGGGAGAGGTTTCCCGCGGGTCTTTATTTCCTTTCGGCCGTCCCAATCAAACACAGCGCCTTGGCTCGACAGCGCCTCAACAGGAAAAGCTTGGTGCCCGATCAAGTCCATATATGTGAGGCATCAAACCTGCTTAAACCCCTATCCGTCGGGCACCATGCATCGTCGTTCCATAAAAGAAATCATGACACCGAGACCCAGCCAGCATTCGGCGGTGTTCGCCAAACATGCACAGACCGGCGCCACCAAGCTGGAAAGGTCAACCCCGCAGGGGCACCGTTGTACATGACACGCTACATTAGCTTGGACCCACCCTTGCTTGTTCAAGCCTCCTGCACCCAAAACCGCGCTGGCAGTGAGATGCACAGGCTGCTCACAAGCTCAAGGCTCAAGATGCCCCGGCACCTGTGCGCAGACCTGGCAACATGCCAGCACTGCAGCAGTCAAGATTGTGTGTTCCTGAGTGCTTGTGTAGAAGCTTTCGATTTCTCATGCAGCTGGGCTCCCAGCGTTTTTGGCCCTCCTCTTCGCCTTCGCCTTCGGCCGCCCCGTCGGCAGTTGAAGCTCCAGCACCCCCGTCGGCCTTTGAAGCACCTGGAGCGGCGATTGGGCTGCTATGATATACTCTAACAGACTCTAAGACAGTCTAACATACTCGAATATACTCTAACATGCTCTATATATATATATATATACTCTACGAAACAGTGATGCACTCCAATACTATCACATAAGGTAAATACCAAAATATACTTTCATGCACTATAACAGGTGTGTGATATCACACCATGCTATACCAGTACAGTCTAGCATGTTAGTATGTTATAGCGCATGGTACATGATAATCTACTAGCATATACTGCAACATACTAGAACGCACCATAATTTACTGTGATGCACTATAACACACTTAAACATACTGTAGCATACTAGAATCAACTGTAACCTACTATAACCTACTGTAATCTACTGCGATCCACTATAATACGCGAAAATATACTATGTCCTACTGTGGTCCGCTACAATCTACTATAATCGACTATCACCTACTATGACCTAGTTGAACCTACTACACTTCACTCTACTACATGTGGTTTAGGGTATTCTAAAATGTGCGTGTATACATGTGCATATACATATACATGTACATATACATATACATATACATACACATACATACATACATACATACATACATACATACATACGTACATGCGTGGATACATACATACATACATACAAACATACATACATACATACGTCCAGACAGACAGACAGACAAACAGA